CAAGTGTGTGCTCCATGGGGCTTGGAGGGGGGCCTTCCTTGGAGGAAGCCTCTGTGTATATGTGTGTGTGTGTGTGTTGGGGAGGCATCTGCTCTTGTCAAGTGAGACCTCATTTCTCTGCAGTGACCTTTTTATTGCTGCCTGGTGTGTGTGAGAGAGAGCGTGTGTGTGTCGTGTGCACTTGTATGTGTGCATGGGTTGTCTCCCAGTAACCCTTTCTGCGCTGCACCCTGCCCCTTCCACTCCCTCGGCAACTCACCTCCCGGTTGGGCCCTTCGGGCACATTTGCCTTAAGTGACCTGCTATGGAGAGCATGGATATGTGTTTACATGTGTGTTTGTGTGTATCCTTGGTGCCTCCATCACTGACCCTATTGCGACAGGCCACTCTCCCAGCTCTTTGGAGCCTGTTCCTAGCCCCGCATTGGGACACAGCTGACCTTGACCCCTGCAATGCCCCCTCCTCCTCCTCCTCTCCCCTCGCCTGACAGAATGAGACCCCCAAATGGATGCACATATTTTGTTCTCTGTCCATCCACAGAGGCTCCTCAGGGTTTTGTCCATTGCCTTTCATCCTTTCCACTCTTTTGCTGCACTTCTTCACTTCTTCATTTCCCCTCTTATTTATTTTTCCCATTGCATTATTATTGCAATAATGATCATAGCAATGATATTCTTTTCTCCCTTCTCAGTTCTGTTTACGTGCACCTGTCTGGGCTGTACGTAGTTTTGCTCTTCTCTTCTTCCTTCCCGGCCGCTTTGATAAAACCTCTCCAAACCCCATGGCTTCTATTTGAATGCCCTGCTCCCCTTTGTGCAAACACGCTTTTGCCCTGAAGTGCCCCCCAGCCTCCATTTCCCTTCAAGTCATATTTTCTGCTGTTAAAGGAAAGCCGACCCCCCTTTCTCCTCCTTCCTGAAATCCAGAATGTGAGTTGCAATAGTACAGAAGAGTGATAATTAATGTTGATTTGTTTTAATTCCCAAATTATGACCGAACCCCAGCCCTCCCCAGTTATGAGGGAGGATGGCCTTAATGGAGCTGAGCCCCCCTCGGTTTCCTCCTCCCGTCAGTGCTACGTGAGAGCAGCCATTTCCTGGTCAAGAGAACTGACCGCCAGCTCCATCTCCCCGACAAAGAGTCCAGGTCATTTATTCCATGAGTGTCACCTGAAAGCGGGGGGAGAAAGCAGCCTCCCACTCCAACCATCAAACACACTTTGTGCCCTCCTTGCCCCACTTTGGTGTCAGTTTCAGTGGGAATTAAATGCTTCCCCCCCCCCCCCAAACACACCTTTACCATATAGATGTATATATTCTTGGGGGGGGGGAGGGTGTCCAGAAGGCCAGGGATGGGTCTGGTGTGAGTGCCTCTGTGATGGAGAAAGAAAGGGGAAGGGAGCCATATCTGGAACCAGGGATCTGTTTGCTTTATCGCTGGCAAAACAGCCTCCTACTCTTAAGCCCCAGAAGAAAGGCGGGGGGGGGGGGGGGCAGAAAGCGGGAAATAAAAGGGGTTTTCTGCCTTCTTTCACCTTGAGAGTGTCCCAAAGAGTTGGGATTTTTGAAAAAGGAGGAATCAAAATGAGAGGACACGCAAACACAGGGACAAGGCCCCAGCGACAATGAGGAGGGATCCCTTGCTGTCCTTCTGGCCGAGGTGGGATTTACCTGTGGTGTGGGCTGCATGCGATGCGTGTCCCTTCAGGCATAATTGGGTGGCATTTACAAATCAATGCATGTTAAATGGGAGGCAATCAATTTAATTACCAGCTTTTCTCAAACACAATCTTCCCATTACAGATTTATTTTTAAGGCTGAACTCAAATGTAATGATCTCTTTACAAAGCAGTAAATTACTACTGTGAGCATGTTTTTGAAATATAGCAAGGAGAAAGATTGATTTTCATGTAAGTATAGGTGCAATCAATCCATAAACAGCAAACTGATCTGTAATTAGAAAATTCCCGTTCGACCCATCGTAGAGTTTAAAGCACGAGCTTCCTAGTTGTTGCAGGGATTGCTTCCTCCGTGTGTCACAATTCTCTTTATTTATCTAAAGTCTTTCCTTTTGAATTTTCTTAGCAGTGTTATTGCATAGATTTTGTGCAAATAAGCATGCCTCTCCTAAATTATGGGTGACTTGCCTGAGGTCAGCACATGTGTACTATTAACACGAGGGGCTTGTTGTACTAATAGCGGTCCTTCTAATAAAAAACCATTTAGCTCAACGTGTAACACCACGTCGGAAGGCGCCTTTTGTTTTGAGTGTCTGTAAATGGATCTATCGATAATAGGATCAACCAGCAAATACATTCTTCTGTATCAATAATATCCGGTATCTATCTGTAGAATACGGTTCAATAAAGATAAAGGGATCGATTTACAAACCTATAAATAATATACATGGCTACCTTGCATCCTTCATTTTCCATTACACCAAGAGCCCTTCAAAGCACTTATGCCGCGTAGTCAAAGGACGATTGAGGGAGAGCCGGTCAGCTCCTGGACACCGGTTTTTAAAAGGAGCCACGGGTGGAATCAAGCACCAGGCCACCCATAATAAACTCCCTCTCTAAATACGTTTGCATAGATTTGCATAGACGTTTTAAGATGCAAATAAATTATCTAATTAAGAAGGGCTTCCACTTCCGTGCAGGATTGTGCGATAATGTGACTGGATTTTTCTTCCTCACTTTTTCTGTTCTTTTTGTCTCTAAATACTGTCAACTGTCACAGCAAAATGAGTGAAATCTATTGTTAGTTAGCTTTGTTCCAAATCATATTTCCAGATGAAACACAGACAGAATTGTGGGGAGGTAGGATTTTGAATTGGCTGAATGGAGGATAATGACTCCTCTCTGAAATATTGAAAAATAACTGCAACAGGTGCATTTTCAATATTTGCATACCGTATCTCTGTGTGTAAATAGATGTAAATTTATATTTAAAAGATTGATTAAGGTTTAATTATTATTCCTTGCAGTAGATTTTCCTACAAATACAGGTTTATATGTAGTTCTGGCCTTTTCTTACTGGCATAATTCTGACTGATTTTGAAATATGGGCTAATGTAGAATGCTGTGTATGGGAGTAGATGGAGGGATCAGTGCTGAAGTCATAACATCCGTGTATAAAATATTTTTAGGGCACTCAGACAGAATTTCACAAGTAAAAACGGAAAATTCTGCTGGTGGAAATTAATATTGTAAACTTTCCATCAGTTCACCACAATCCTACAATGTGAGTACCTGTGTTTCTTTGTTCGATCGCTCTTTCTCGTACGGAGGGGTTGAGGCGCTAATCGCTCCACAGATACAAACAGAGGAGAATCTTCCGGTGGCTTTCGAGGCGCATCTAGCAATTCCAGCTGCAAAGAAAGGGATGTTGGGGTGATCCGAAAGGGGTCTGTGTAATGGCAAGGAACGTGTCGTGTGGCCTTTGGGGAAGGAGAGGCACGGGGGTCTTGTGATGCTTCTGGTGTGGCTTTAGGGGAATGTGGGGGACCTGTGCCTGGGGCCCCTCCCTCGCCCCAAAGCCCCACAGGGGCCACACTTTAGAGGCAGCACACCCTTGGGCTTCTTGTGCTGGGAAGGCAACCCATGCCTTCCATTTCCCACAGCTGTGAAGACGGGCACCTTGTCTTGCAGGAAGGAAATGGCCTCCATGTTCGGAACAGTGATGAACGTTAACAGGACCAGTGCAAGGAGCAAGATGGGCGTGCTGTGCTCTCTGTGCTGGGGAAGGGAATAAGTTTGACTCAGTATCTGGCGCGTGTGCTTTGATGAAGTCCTGTGCTTCATTTGGAGCTATGAAATACAGTCTCTGGTGCCCTTTCTGGACAGTTCAGACTTTTGGACCAGAGGCCTCCCGTCCTAGAAGCTTTGAGGCTGTCACCTGGTGCTTAGTGAGGCCTTGTCCCTGCATCCCTAAAAACTACATTCACCACACAACTAACCTGGGGTTGTGAGAAAGCTCTTCTGCAGTTGCGGGAATTGTGCAACCCATTTGTGTGAGGTCTGAGTGCCCCAGTCACCCTCTGAGCCCCATTCTGAAAATGGTTGGTCACACCCTCAAAGGCTGTGCAACTTGGTCTGTTGATGAGTTGGAGCAGAAATATTCATCGTGTAAGATTTTGTTTTAAACCTACCCCTTTCTACAGGCTAGGTGTAAGAAGGGCATACCAATTTAGTTACCTTTTCATGACTGGAGCACGTTGTCCTAAATCCAGATGTACTTCATCTTAACTGTGTTCCTGGCTGAGCCTAAAACTAAGAACTTTGTCCACCTGTTTGGATCTCCTTTGAGGTTTAACATCCCAATCTAGATCTGATAGTGTAGATTGCTTGATGGATTCACAGTTAATTATAGATGGTGAAATCTAACCTCCCTGCAATTCCCTACATTTTGTGTTAATATGAACTAAAGGCTTGTGGTCCAGATTGATTCCTTTAATGCTTGCAAAGTGTTGGAAATAGGAAAAAATATTGTTTTAGCTCTGAAATCATGAGGGGTATCAATGCATCGGAGAGAAAAATAAAAGGTTCATTTTGGGAATTGGTACCATTTTGATTAGTAATTAAATGAAATGACCGATTCCTAAAAGTGTGTGGGAATTTGCCTGCTGTAGAACAATGTTTCTTGAAACGCCGATTGTGTGCTATTATTGCTGCGAACAATCTCTGAAATGTTTTTGCTTCCCCCTACAAAACATGTCTGTTTCTTAATCATTGTGTTTGTTGTGTAGGGTTGCTATTTTGTTTGGGGGCTTTCTGGTTGTCAATTTTGGTAAAAATGATTCTTTGTTATTTTTTTGTAAAAATGATTATTTGGTAGCAAGCAGAGGACCACAATACAGGACTACTGTAAACAGATAAATAAGACAGAGGGTAGTC